GGACTGAAGTGGGTGCGAGGAAGAGAGGGTGCAGATGTAGAAGAGCCCGAACAGAGGCAAATCACCCCAGTTGGCCTACTTACTAGCTAAAGAATACCATCCTTTTCATATTGTACACAAAAGATAAATATCGCGACTGGTGAAGGCTATTAATTCTGCATGACGGAGGGCCCTGAAGTCGAGGCACGATCTTACAACATACTCTCCTCTCTATGACCAATCGAAGCCATGCTCGAAGCTGAGACAATCGTTAAATTATATTTATGTGTCCACTCCCTCATCTCATTTGTCTATAAGCAACTCATTAATATTCCATAGCGCCACCCGTCGTGAGCAACCAGGAAAATGATCACAACAAAGTGTCATGTGCCCGCTCGTTTAAACACCCCCGCCGTAAGTCCACTGCAGCCCCCAAGAGGCCTTTGGTAAAGCAACATCAAAATATCTGAGTTCTACACATCAACATCCAAGTCACCATCAACTGAAAAATAAAATTTACTTGACTGGGCCAGTTTTGGGAAAGGGACATTTTAAGTTTGGTTATTTTCGATCAAGTAATCTAAAATAAATTTGTTAAAAATCTCTTTTTACACTTAGTTGTAAAAGCAAAGTATAAATAGGAGCTAAATTTCTTTTTTATTCTGATTATTAATACATTTATTTCCTACTCGTAACTTTTGAAAAATAGTAAACAAAGAACTATTGAAAGACTGAATTTAATTCTTTGGAAGAATGGAGTCCTGCACTTAAAAGACACTATCATGGTACCTTGTTTTGATAGTACTTACTCAGATCTACATATCCAATATCCACATACATTTTAGCAAACAGAGATCCCAGGATAAAGCCAATGACTGGACCAATCATTCCTATTGCATTCAAACTACCTGTAAGTATTACAAAACAATTTAATCAGATGCCACAAATACTTGGTTTTGATTTAACATGTTTTTTAAAGTAATATTACACAATACACTTCTGCAAATATTTTTCTAATAGGTAAAAGAAAAAACTAATGACGTTATTATTTCAAGGGTAGATCCAGGGAATGTAATCATGAAATTTAATATTTTCTGCACATTACCTACATACAAGGAAGAATGTCCTTCTTTTGCAAAATCATCAATGTACGAAATCCCCAATGGTCCTATGGGGGTTTCCCCTATACCACGAAGCATATTACCCATGAAGACATACATCCACATGTGTGACCCAGATTCCTTCACACAACCTATAGAGATAAGAAAGTGTTTTACTTTAAAAATTAATTTTAACATTCCTATTAGGACCTTAACCACTTTAAACCCTTCTTTTTTCCTTTTTTTTGTTTGTTTCTTTCCTAATTACAAGTGATTCATATTTACTTTACAAAGTTTGAAAATAAAGGGCACAAAGAAAACAAGTAAAAATTGCCTATAATTACACGACACACAGAAGATCATTGCAAATATTATTCTAGATCTTCTACAATTTTAGTGCACAAAATATGCATAATATTCATTATGTACATTATGTACTTAAAAATCCAGGTTATTTTTAAGGTGCATACACAGTTATCACTATATTGTCACAATTTCCCCATGTTGTTAAGAGTTCTTCTATATTAAAATTTTAATTACTGCATAATAGTGTGTTTAATAATAGTTTGCTAATTTGTTTAAACAATCTCTTGTTGTTACAAAATATTTTTATTTTTATTCTCTTACACGTGGATGTCATGGCTGTGATTATGAAATGTCCTTGTGAACATTTCTGATTATTTCCTTAAGATTAATCAAGAAAGAGCTGGGCGCAGTGGCTCACTCCTGTAATCCCAGCACTTTGGGAGGCCAAGGCCGGCAGATCACAAGGTCAGAAGATCGAGACCATCCTGGCTAACACGGTGAAACCCGGTCTCTACTAAGAAATACAAAAAATTAGCCGGGTATGGTGGCAGGCACCTGTAGTCCCAGCTACTCGGAAGGTTGAGGCAGCAGAATGGCTTGAACCCGGGAGGCGGAGCTTGCAGTGAGCTGAGATTGTGCCACTGCACTCCAGCCTGGGCAACAGAGCAAGACTCCATCTCAAAAAAAAAAAAAAATTAATCAAGGAAGTAGGCAAGTATATTTTTGTTCTTTAATATATATTGACAATTAATCTCCAGAAAGACTTTCCAATTTATACTCTCTCAGCAATACATAAAACTTGAAATCATTTTTTTCCTCCACTTCATTTATTTTTATTAAATTTTGGGGTTATCATTATAATGATATTATTGTGTCATAATAGTTACAAAGTCTTCAAACGCTATAACATTTTGCATTTCTATAAAGAGAAGTTTTATTATTCACATATTTCTGCCACTTTCTGCTTTTTTATTTTAAATGTGTATGTTTTTTTGCAAATTTCCTACTAAATTTGTTCTTTATTCTTATCTACCTCTAAATGCCCTTGATATATAATAATCCATTTGGACACTAGGAGAGTTGTTCCAGGACAACTCATATATACAGAAATTTATGCAGACGTAAGTCCTCTCGTTGGCCCTGTGGAAACGGCCTATTTAAGTCAGACCTCCACATGGGTGGGTTTCTCCTTGTGATTGGTGGACAAAAGCTGCATATAAGTGAACAGGTGCAGTTCAAACCTGTGTTGTTCAAGAATCGACTGCATATATTAACAGTATGATTTTGCCTGTATGTGAGGGATAAATGTTCTTCCTATTTGTTCTTAAATCAATTCTGCTAAAGAATATCACAAACTTTATAGATGTGATTAAATCTATCAATCTAGAATTTGTTTTACTGTCACTATTAATTCTTACCTTTTTCTACTATCTCAGGTGATGTTCTGTTGAATGATAAGGTTTGATTAATTAAACAGGTTGATAAACTTGATGTTGAATTTTCTGATGGATTAATATGGGTTTCTTTAGAATACCTGTAACTATAAGAGTAATATTAGATTGAACATTTTGCTTGTCTACTGAATATTTTCAGTTTTCCCAGAAATACAGAGAAATTTTCCCCTTTATTTGAACCACTGTCTTCTCCAAATTACCAGAATCTTGTTTGTCAACTTCTCAGCATGTATTTCAGAACAGGTGATGAGAAGGGGGTGAAATGAGAGTGTCCACTGAGAAAGATACTTCAATACACTGTGAACAAAGTGGGTTATCACCTTGCTATTATCCTAAGAGTGCTTATATTCTGGTCAAGATATGAAATATCCTGGTTTCACCTGTTGTTTTTTTTTTTTTTTTCTGTTTTCTCTGTGTCTTTTTCTCTTTTTGTTTTCTTCTCAGATGTTGTCTCTGTGTGATTTTTTTTTTTGTGTACACACACACACACACATACGCACACACTAGTGCTTGACTTTTGAAAACTCAATAAAAACAAATTTTTAATTCATTTCATCTTTATGAGGAAAAGTTTAGTAAGAACAACAGAGATGGAGCTAGATTAGGGATGGATGTTGATGCTCAAAAATACTAAGTGCTCTGTGAGCCCTAAGGGCACCATATAGTGTGCCAGGCATTTTGCTCAACTTCAAAGAACAAGAAATAAAACACACAGTGTTTGGAAATGTCACACTCTCTAAGATAAATGTATATGATCAAAGATATAGTAAGTTTAATATACAAGGTCCTGAGTTGCCACACACCCACCAAAAAGAATTAATCAGCTTTTCTTGGAGGTGGGGTGTAGATCAAAGAAAACCTCACAATGTGAAGGATAGATGAAATGAATATTGAAGATGTATAGAATTCTAATTGGTAGACAAAGGAAGAAAAGTATTCAAGTCTGTAGAAATAATAGATGCAAAGATATGACATATTATGGCACACTAAGAGCTGTAAGCCTAAAATGTGATCCTCAAATATGGGGAGCAATGGAAGATGAAGCTGGGGTAGCTGCATTTAAGGCATATTCTCCATAAAAATCATGAAGAACAAGATATTAAGAAGATTAGAGGGAATTGTGGGACACTGAAATTATGGTGTCAGAAGCAAAGGAAAAAGATGGTCATGATGAAGAAGCCACAAAAATAGGAAAATGAATCAAGATTGTGGAATATGATGCGTATTAGAGCAGTATCATTAAGAAGAAAGTTCTTATAAAGGCCAAATATAGGGGGGAAAAGCAGAATTAATATGGTGACCAAAAGGCATGATTGCTGGCATTAAGTAATTGATGTCTCTAACAAACCACTCATTGTCTCTCAGTATCCTTTCTTCTCTCCTTCCATAGTAACAGAAGTTGGGTTTTTTTTAGCTGGAAATAGGGAAGCCTGGAATAAAGTATATTTTTTTCAACATCTATATATTAAATCTATGTGTAAAATGTAACTGACTTCTGGTAAACGTGAAATCAGTGAAAGTGTTTTGCTTCTGAAAATGCTCCTGGGCCTCAGCCCATGTGCACTCTTTGTTCTTGTTCCTCTCTTCTTCTATCCTGTTGCCTGGAAATACACTGCCACATTTTGTAACAGGAGGACAGGGCCATGCAAGGCATAGCACTATGATGAAAAATAGAATCACATCATCCTTGGACTAGCTACATTACAAAATGTAAAATATAAGCTTCTATCTTATTTAAGTTATTGCTATTTTCAGTTTTCTCATATGAGCTTCTTACTCTAACCATAACTACAAGTTACCTTAGAAAGAGCAGCTTCATTGAAATGCTGGTGGGAAAACATATACAGCAGCGGGTGAAGTTGTGAAGTCTTACTGAGTATAATCAAAATCTTACAGGCAAAACATAAAATACATACGTTATACTAAAATTGGTAAATAACTTATTTCATATAAAACTGTATATCTTATATAATATTATTCTTATTTAAAAGTTTATAAAAGCCATGATGAATAAAGCAATACATGAACTATTATATAGGAAATATACTCCATTTCTCTACGCATACATGCGGGTAATCCTCTCAAAAGGTAACTGCCTACTTAAAAGTATAAAAATAAAATTCTACTGCTAAGTTACAAGTAGCTGATAATAAATGGCTCAGTGTTTAGCACTTACTATCCCATGAAGAAATGTGGTAAAGCTGTCAAAATACTTCCAGTTCCCATAATGAGACAACCAATTCCGATTAACTTTGGTCTGTGTAGTTTAGATCCAAAGTAACTTACAAATACAATCACAAGCAAATTTCCTAGAAAAAGAACAGAATTAAGTTGATATGACTTAGCGTAATTTTGTATCTAGTAGAACTGAATGCCCCAAAGGAATGCAAATATGCCCAAGACATCGTACCTTCCCTCAAAGACCATGAAATTTAATTGTGAAGGTAAACTCTCCTACATTAAACCACTCATTGGAAAGTTGTATAGGATTAATAAGTAGAATAGGTTTTATATGCAAAGAAAGCACTCAGGTAATTTGGCTATATGAGAGAAGCAAAGTTTTTTTGAAAATGTGGAGTTTACTGGATTGCATTGGAATGGAAAACTGTCTTCCTAGTCTGAGGGAAAGATCATCATTCATGCATATTTTAAACTTATTTCAGGCATTCTTTAAATTTATACTATGCACCTACCACAGTGCTCAGAGTCAGAAATAAAATAAATCATGGTACTTGTTCTCTAGAAACACACCAGTAATAAAACAAAACAGATGGATAGATGTGCTGTTAGATTATGGAAATAGGGAGCTTAAATTAATTAGGGGCTTTGTGAAAGTTTCCTGGAGGAGACATTATTTGAGATTTAATGTTGAGTATAAATTATTTAGATTAAAATGTGGAAGAGCCATCACAGCAGACCAATTCAGATTTATCTATAGCCTTATATATAACAATGAACAGACAATAATCAAGAATTATTGAACATTGATGGAAAAAATAGTTTCATGAAAGAAAGCACCAGAATGGACCAGCAGATAAAGCAACACAAGAATAAATACTTAAACAAAATTAAACTAAAAAGAATAGAAACATTTTTTTAAAAAAATCCTGTTAGTGTATTTAGAGGTACAATGGCATCTTGCAGCCACAGAATCAGAACTGGCAGACTAAAAATAATAAGCACAATAAAGTGTTGTTATAAATTTAAAATATAATTTAAAATTTACAAATTAGAACTTGATATAGTAAGATGACATCACACATCAGAGAAGATTGATGAAACATAAAGAAAAGAGGTAGAAATTTAAAGGAAAAAAATTTTAAAGGAAAAATATCCAGAAAATATATTATTTATCTCATACATGTTTCAGAAGAAAAGAAAGAATAAAAACAGAAAGAAACAAATAGGAAACAGAAAATAAAGTTTTTGTGTTAGAGGAAGACATAAGCTTTCAGATGAAAGTTCCTACATTTGTCCAGCAGAAGTAATGTAGAAACAGAGAGTCTCAGATACATGCTGGTAAATTTTTGGATATTTAAAGATAAAAAGGAGATGCATATCAGTGCATGAAAATTACAGTGGTAATAATTTCTTATATACCACATTGAATGCTGTAAAACAGTAGATGAATATTTTTAATGTTTTGAGAAAAAAATCATTTGGAAATTTTAATTACTTACTCAGACAAATTATCAATTAAATATAATACTAAAATAAAAGCATATTTCAACAAGCAAGGGCTTAGAAAATATGCCATGCTTTCAATTCTTCCTAAAAAAAAATAACTACGGTCATCCCTCAGTGTCAATGGGTTATTTGTTCCAGGATGCTCTGTAGACACCAAGATTTGTGAATGCTCAAGTCCTTAAAGTAAAAAGCTGTAGTACTGCCTGGACATGGAGGCTCATGTCTGTAATCCCAGCACTCTGAAAGGCTGAGGCTGGCAAAATACTTGAGGCTAGGAGTTCGAGATCAGCCTGGCCAAATGGTGAAAACCCATCGCCACTTAAAAACATGAAAATTAGCCGGATGTGGTGGCACACGCCTCTAATCCCAGCTACTTGGGAGGCTGAGGCAGGAGAATCGCTTAAACCCAGGAGATGGAGGTTGTTGTAAGCTGACATCAGGGCACTGCACTCCAGCCTGGGTGACAGAGGGAGACTCTGCCTCAAAAAACAAAAACAAACAAACAAAAGATACGGTATTGCATATAACCTATCAATATCCTCCTGTATGCTTTATATCATCTCTAGATAACTTCTAATACTTTTAATACAATGTAAATACTATGTAAATAGTTGCTATTCTGTGTTGGTTTTATTTGTATCATTTTTATTAATACATGGCCATTTTTTAGTTTTATATTTTTTGAATATGACTTGCATCCACAGGTGTGGAACCTGTGGATACAGAGGGTCATCTATACATGGAGGTATACTCCAGAAAGAGTAAAGATGAGATTTGAAGTCACAGGATTCAAAAAACAGAGGTAAGCAAAGAAACTAAACTGATAATGATGTTCGAATAATTGCTGTTAAATAGCTGTAAAGTTTAACAAAAATGTTAAGGATTAATTTCATGATAAAAATAGACATACAGTGAACTAAACTTTAAAACTAATAACATTCCAATTCTAAAATTCTAGATGATTTCATTGAACTTGGGAGGTGAAAAAGTAAAGGATATGTAGAGTGTCATATCTTTGAATGACAAACATTCTGAATTCATATAAAGAGATAAATCTTTCTTTGACAATTACATTTTAGTCATTAGTTAAGCATTGTGTAAATACATTGGAATGGAAAACTGTCTTCCTAATCTGAGGGAAAGATCATCATTCATGCATATTTTAGAAAGTGAAAAGAAAAAGGGGAAATCAGCAGAGGCTATGAGCTAGCAGTGGGTAAAATAAGAAAAACAACCTATTTTCAATAATTATATAAAACCTCACTATTGTTGGAGAAATCCAAATTAAAATGATGACATCAAAGCAATATCTTCAACGTTCAAAAAAAAAAAAAAAAAAAGACTTTAAACCCCCAATGTTGTACACAGTTAAACACTAGAACCTAGCGTAGGTTGCTCCTATGCAGTCCCTCCACTTAAAACCAGAATTATAGTCCTCCCTCAACCTTTCTTCACACTGGGGCACCTTGAGACAAGGGAGATAAAGCTTCCGAAAAAGTTAATTTGCAAGCCATGAGTTTGTGTAGGATCAGAGTTTTTCAACACCCTCACAGACATTTTGAGAGGGATAGTTATTTGTTGGTAAGTCTGTCTTACGCATTGCATAGTGTTTAGCAGCATCCCTGACCTCTACCCCTAGGTACCAGTAGCATCCTTCCTGCCCCAGCCCATTTATGGCAACAAAAATGTCCTAACATATTGCCAAATTGCCCATGAGAGACAAATTTACACCTAGTTCAGACCCAGTGGTATAAAGCATGCATAAACAGTTTGTTTTTTAACTTATGCCAGAATGGTTATCAAAATACAAAAAAAAAAGTTACCAATTTCAAAACTTCCATCAATTAAACCAGCAAGAGAAGAAGAGATGTCAAATCTCCTTTCTATTTGAGTGATGGACATTTTCATAATGATTCCACCTAGTGCTCTAGCAATATAGCTGAATGACAGGGCTGCCAAGAACATCTAAAAACAGTAGAAGAAAAAAGGAAAATTGGTTAATCAAAGAACTATATGATGTTTATAGGTACATGGAATTAAAACAGTTTTTCTTCTTTACTTGAAAACATTATTTTTTATCATAAAAAGCATACCCATTTTTCCCTATACAAGTTGAAACTTCTCAGCCTTATAATATTATCAGTACACTACTAAAGCATGATTTTCTAACTTGGTTACAGCATTCGATTGTTGGAGGAGTGTAGTTAAGGTTGCTATTTTTAAACTAACTTCATTAATTTATTTATAGGAAACTAGACACTGTTCTCAGATGGCCATGATGGTGAGCTATTCTTTATTTCCATGTGAATAGCACTGGCTAACTGGGAGGGGAACGGCAGTACATTCGCAAAGGTAGCACTTCCAGAAGCCAGCTGAAAAATAGAACTTTGTGGAGGCAAAGAGGCATTTTATGACCAACACAAGTGACTGTATCAGTGTGAGATGTAATGGTTGTAGATGTTTTAATTTCTAATATCATTTTAACAAAACGTATTGATTCATCCTTTCTCTTACAGCTCATATCTACATCCATAAGAATTCCTTTGGCTCCACTATTAAAATATTACCCACTTTTGAACCGCATGTTTGAGTTCCCCCCAAATTCATATGTGAAAGTCCAAATTTCCAGTGTGATGATAATTGGAGATGGAACCTTTTAGGGGTACTTGGTATGAGAGTAGAGCTCTCATGATGGATTCATACCTTAGTAATTAGAGAAATGAGAGATTCTCGCGTTCTCCCCCTGCCCAAGAACTGGTATCTGCCTTCCCATATCCAAGTAGCCACAGGAATGGAGAAGCAGGTTGGGCTTATCTCTCAGAACAAAGACAATTAAATGTACATCAGAATCTGCACTACCACAGAAAGATTAAGTGCAGCTCTACTGCCATAATTTACTGTGGTGCTAGAGAGGTCACAGTATCATAGACATGAGAGAGGATCTTGAGTAGAAACCAGCAAGCCTTTTCAAATAAAATATTACACACACAAGCCCAAAACACACAAAAAGGAATGCCTACCCGGAAAAGCCTGAGAGGATGGCCAGGTAGAGCGGGAAAAGTTCTCCCTATAGAAAATTGGAGTGCAAAGTCTGTGAATGTTGGTGGATTCTCCACATGCAGGTATTTTGTCAAGAAAAAAATAACAGGGCCTGTAAAGAAAGAGAGACGCCTACAAATTCAAAGGAGCAAATTAAATCTCCAGAAAGTGACCCGAAAGAAATGAAGATATAGATCTTGCCAGATGACAAGCTCAAAATTACTGTCAAGTATGCTCAATAAATTGAAAGAGAGCACAGATAAACAACTAAATGAAATTAGAAACATAACCAATGAACAAAATGTGAATATCAATAAAGATGTAGTAACTACAGAGAACCCAACAGAAACCCTGGAATCAAATAATAAAATAACTTAATTGAAAAATTGACTAGAGACTCAACAGAAGACTTGATGAAAAGGAAGAATTGGTGAATGCAAAGACAAAACTTTGAAAATTACTGTAGCAGAGAAGAAAAAGAAAAAACAATATAAGGACTAAAGCAATTATGGAACACCATTGACTAGAACCATGTATGCATTATGAGAGTACCAGAGGAGAAGAAAAAATGAAAGGTGCAGAGAACTATTTGAATAAATTAGGGCCCCAGATTTTTCCAATCTGAGGAAAGAAATAAACCTAAAAATTTAAGAATCTCAAAAAAACTCCAAATAGGATCAATCTAATGAGATCCCCACCAAGACATATTGTAGTCAAACTGTCAAAAGTCACAGACAAACAGAATCTTAAAAGCAGCAACAGAAAAGCTACCAAAAGTACAAGAAGTATCTCACAGAGTACCAGCATATTTCTTAAAAGAAACCTTTCAAGATAGGAGGGAGTGAGACAACATATTTAATGAACTGTGGAGGGCAGTGAAACCTGCAAGCCAAGAGTACTATCTATCTATCTATGTCTATCTATATCTATCTATCTATCTATCTATCTATCTATCTATCTATCTATCTATCTATCTGTCTATCTACACATACACATATATAAGTATGTATGTGTTTATTATTTATTTATTTATTGATATGGAATTTCACTCTTGTCTCCCAGACTGGAGTGCAATGGCACAATCTCAGTTCACTGCAACCTCTGCCTCCTAGGTTCAAGTGATTCTTCTGCCTCAGCCTCCCGAGTAGCTGGGATTATAGGTGCCTGCCACCATACCCGGCTAATTTTTGTTTGTTTGTTTTTTTTTAGTAGGGATGGGGTTTCACTATGTTGGCCAGGCTGGTCTTGAACTCCTGACTTCAGGTGATCCACTCCCCCTTGGCCTCCCAAAGTGCTGGATTACAGGCCTGAGCCATCATGTCCTGCCAAGAGTACAATATTTAACAAAACTGACCTTAAAAAAAAAAAAAAAAGGAGGAGGGGAAATTCACCTTTTTTTTGGTTTGGTTAAAGTTTTGGGGGTTATTCCCACTTGGCTTTTTAATTGTGAAGGGAATACTATAAGTTGAAGGAAAAGAATGATAAACAGCAAAAGAGAATCACACAAAAAAGTGAAATTCTCTGATAAGGGTAAATACATACACAAATATAGAATCCGGCCATATTGTAATGTAAGTGGATAAATAACACAAATCTGATATAGAATTTTTTAAATAGCATGAAAGTAATTGTAAATCTCTGTTAATAAGTACACAAAAAGGTAATATTCATCATTAACAACATAAAGTGAGAGGGGATAGAAATTTGAATGAGTCAAATTTTTAAATACAACTAAAGTTATCAATTTGAAATTATTATGATTTTAAAATTTTATGTAATTAAAATATTAACCACAAAGAAAAGTGACTATACAGGAAAATGAGAACTAAACAAAAACACATCACAGCAAAAAAAAAAAAAAAAAAGATAATATAACCAAAAAGAAGACACCAAGAGAGAAAAAGAGAGAGAAAAGAAGTTGTAAGACAGAAAGTAATAAACAAAATGGCAAAAGTAAGTCCTTCCTCATCAGTAATTATTTTAAGATTAAATGGATTACACACTCCATCTGAAGAATGATTTTTTAAAAAGATGCAACGACAAGTCAGATAAAGGTATCTGATGCAAACAGGAACCTAAAGAGAGCAGGTATGTCCATAATTATATCAGAAAAATTAGATTTTATGACAAAATCTGTCTCAGGAGACAATTATACTAGCATAAAATTATCAATTCACCAGGAAGAGCCAACAATTATAAATAGATATGCACCTAAAACTAAAGCAATGAAATATATGAAACAAACATAGATACAACTGAGGGAAAAATGGACAGTAACATAATAATATGACAATAATAATAATGATACTTCAACATCCTGCATTCATTTATATACAGAACAACCAGGGAGACTATCATAGGAATCAAATGACTTGAACATGATAGGCCAATTAACCTAACAGACAAATAGAGCACTCTCTATCAAATAACAACAGAATAAATATTTTCTCCAGCAGAAATGGAACATTCTCCAAGATAGACCACCTTGTCCCACACAACAAATCTTAACAAATTAAAAATGTTGAAATTATATTAAGTATCTTCTCCGCTACAGTTCAATGAAACTACTACTTAAAAGCAGAAATAAAACAAGAAAATCCACAGATAAATGAAATTTAAAAATTCATTCTTAAACGACCAATGGGTCAAAGGAGGAATAACAAGAATTAATAAAATATCTGAGAAAAAACGAAAACACAAGAAACCAAAACTTATGTGATGCAGCGGAAGCAGCACTAACGGGAAAGTCTAAAAATTGATACTAAGAAAAGAAAAATCTCAAATAAATAATATAACTGTATCCATCAAGGAACCAGGAAAAGAAAAACAAATCCAAAATTAAGAGAGGAAGAAAATACTCAACATTACAGTAGAACAAAATAAAATAGAAAATAAACAAAAACAACAGAAAAAAATTAATGACTCTAAGTTGGTCTTTTGAATGTATCAACAAAATTGAGAGACCTTTAGCTAAAATAAGAAGAGAGAGAGAGAGAGAGAGAGAGAGAGAGGGAGAGAGAGAGACTTAAATAGCTAAAATTAGAACTGAAAGAGGAGGCATTACAACGGCTATCTCAGAAATTAAAAAGAATTATAAGAGATGACTACAAACAATTATAAGCCAACAAATTGGAAACCATAGAATAATGAATAAATTCCTAGAAACATACAACCTACTGAAATTGAATTATGATTCAATTTTAAAAATCTGAGCAGAACTATAATTAGTTAGGACATTGATGCACTATCAAATACTTCCAAAAAAGATAAAACCAGTAGCCAATTCTTCACTAGAGAATTTTACCAAACTCCTAAAGAATAAGTAACACCAATACATGTGAAAGTAACTCCCAAATTCGTTTAATGTGGCCAGAATTACCCTAATACCGAAATAACATAACGACAGAAAAAAAGAAAACTACAGACAAATATTCCTGATGAATATTGATACAAAAATCCTAAATGTAATACTAGTAGGCTGAATTCAACAGCATACTAAAAAAAAATTCACATCACGATCCAGCAAAATACATACCTGAAATACAAGGATGGTTTAATATACAAAATTACATCAGCATAATATATCACATTCACAAAATGAAGGACAACACCACATGGTCATCTCAATTAATGCAGAAAATAACATTTGAGAAGATGCCTACTCCTAACATTAATATTCATTCAATCTAGTGCTGGAAGTTCTAGGAAGATAAATTAAACAAGAAAAAGAAATAAAATGCATTCAAATTAGAAAAGAAATAAAATTATCTCTGTTCACAGATGACATCATCTTATATGTAAAGATTCTACCAAAAAATTTAGAAAAAATAAACACATTTGGCAAAGTTGCAGGACACAAAGCAATATTCAAAATTAAGAAGTGTTTCTATGCATTACCAATGACCATTTCAAAAGGAAATTAAGAA